GTGCGCACTTTCATCTCATAATTCCTTTTCTCATATTTTCGTTTAGAATTTGTTTCTGAAGTTTCGATCTATTGGAACGCCTCGTCTTTTTAAATTCCGAAATACTCTAATATATGACTAGACTAGCATAGCGCGAGGAAGACGATATTTACGATTAAATTCTATTCGAGGTGGAAATTACAAATTATCGGTTGATGGCGTAATTACCGCGGAGTTGCCACTGCTCATGCTGCCACCATCATTTCGAGCAATTTCTCTAGATGCTTTACAGTATTTACTTTCAGACTTTGATTCGTGGTTTGCCATTGACTTTCAGAACTCAATGAATAAAAGCTAATGTCAAGCGAAACGATAGATTAACAAGTAGAAAATTGTCGTCTGTCATATTCCATTAATACTAACAAGCAATAATGTGTTAACTTTACTAATTAAAATATCTAAATTCTATAGGATTTTCTTTGCCGAGTACTCCATTGATAATACAGTATATTTTTCGCTTAATTTTAACAGTTAATGAAAAACAAAAATAACCGTGTACAAAATTTTTTATTATTTTATAATATTATACACTTATACAATTTACATAACAATTTAATTTATCAAGTTTAGATTATAATCGATAAAATAAACGTTATATTTATTTCAAAATTTAAATTTCTTTAATACTTGGAATGTCAAATTTAATGATTATATATTATTAATATTATTAATAATTTGTCATTACTGACACATATGCCTTTTGATTTTTTTTATTATATTATGCGATCGATCACGTTATAGTAGGAGAGTATTATTTAATTAAATAATAAAATTTCCATGACATTCATTAGTACAGTATATAGATAGTCCATGTCAATATAAATATATTTATTAATGAAAGATTTATATTATCATTGATTCAGATACTTTCATAAGAATTAACACTCCTTTAATAATGTACAAACATAATCGACTATTTTCTAATTTTTTTTTCTTAATTTAATGTAAATTATTCAATAAAAAACTTGAATAATTAAATAATTGAATATTAAATTAGTTAATTTCTTATATAATGATATATATATATATATATATATATATACTATTGTCATAAGATAGTATATAACATTTCCAAGTTAGCCATATGGAGCATCAACAAACAATAATTATTTCATATGTACTTTATATATGCTTCCTACGCGCTGGCATATTGCAACATCTAAATCGTTAGTTATATATTACAAATTTCGACGAACTTTAAAAATAATTGAACTAGCTAGCTATTGGTGATCGCCAGCAATGATAAATAAAATTCGATTAATTAATTCATTTCAAAGTCAAAAGAAATGGACCTCTATTATTTATTTAGCAATAAATTATGAATTGTGCAAAGTAAACATACGCGACAGAATTCAACGAATTCATTAAAATAATATGATATTTTAACTGGACACAAAGTTTTATTTAAACAAAGCTTTGTTTTCCCTTGATTTATGAGATTTCCACGTTTTTGCTTTCGCGATAAACTGCAAAAAAATAAAGTCACAGCTACTTTTCGTTTATTTCGATTTTGATAAATCAGCTTGAACTCGGCCTTTCTATCTCACAAATAAAACAAATGTAGCTAAGCGAGCTTTTTTCGCCATCTCATTTCTGGTCGTCTACGCGACAAAACGAATGAAAGCCGGAAAAAAAAAAAAAAAACCCCCACCCCCCCCCCCCCCCCCCCCCGCGTAATTTCTCGTGGCAATTACAATAAGATTAACGAGCGCTCGCTCCCTTCCTCGGCTCTACGCCCGACGCCAACACGTAACAAAGTAGAAAATGCCTTGGCGTAACTACACATTGATTTGCCCGCATAATTTTCAGGCAGTCGTGAGAGAACTCAATAGACTGGGGATGCTGGTGGACCTGTCGCACGTCTCCACGCGAACGATGAATGCAGCCCTGCAGACGACGAAGGCGCCGGTCATTTTCTCACACAGCGCCGCCCGGGCGCTCTGCAATTCCAGTAGGAACGTGCCGGACGACGTGCTCCGAAATCTGGTGAGTCCTCTTTCACTTTCTCCTCGCCCTTTTCTCTCCTCCGCGGGCTCGCGCCCTTACGCGCATCCGACCTCGAGCCGCACCTCGTCTCCTCCCTCGACAGAGTCGAACACGTAACTAACTCCCGGCAAGCGTTGCTCATAGTACTTTTCCTAATCTACTCGCGTTTGCGATTTACGCGCGGTTACATAGCTGCGTACTAAATTTTTTCATACTATTGCAAAACCGAGCGAAATTTATGGCTCAGGCGTGAGTCTCGACGCAGCTGCGATACAAACTGGTTAATGAAGGTAATAAAGATGGTGAATTTTATAATTAATACGAGAGTCGGGCGATTTTTTTGTTCTCGATGATGCGCCATTTATATCATTAGTATAATTATGTGTGGTAGTAGCGAAGGATATGGCGTGTCTGTCAATGTTAGAATAAGTTATAGTACGATCGATGATCCTTGACATCCAGAGCTTTTCTGTTACGATGAAACTTAATCGTCCGAATAAAAACTTTTATCCACAAATTCATCGCTGTTAATAGTTTCGTAAATTCATCCGATTACGTATATTCTAATGAAATTTTAACGCTCGACTTTACAAAAGACAAACATTTTTTTATATTAGCTAAAATATAATAACTTATAAACTTTTTAATTATATGATAATCTTGTTGATCATCTTAATTAAGAAACTCTCCAATTTCGTAACAATGATTCGAGCATAAATTACATTCCACCATCATTGCTATCATTGTTTGCATACACTAAATATTATTAATTATCCATTGGCTCATTATTTATCCATAACTCCGATTCTTCAATATTCTTCAATAATAAAATAATAAAATAATTCGCAATTTAGTGATTATTTTTATATAAACAATTTTAACAAAAATAACGAATTATCGATCGATAATAGCAAATCCCTTCATATTGACACGAGTGTGTCTGATAATGGTGTTGGTGGTGGTGGTTGGGAGGGGAAGGGCGAGAATGGCGAGTTTGCTCTATCTGGCTTTACTCCCAGACCCAAAACCGTAATTTTCAATTAAAGCGATGTACCGCGTGTCACCTAACCCACACCCTCCACCATATATTTATTCAAAGCCCTTTTTGAGCATTCGCATTTTATCTACTCTGGAGAAATTATCTTGAGCGGTGAAGCGTAATTCCGCCTTTCCACTTTTCTCCGTCTCGCTACTTTAATATAGCTTGGCTCCTGCCTGTATCAGTTTCCTGCATCTGCCTCATTTCTTACCTTTGCACCCTTTAATCCTGCGCTTGTGTAATCTCGTTACCGTTTCTTTTTGTTAGTTTGAAATGCTCTTATTTCCTAGAGTTTAAGCATAGGAAGCATAATAATGAAATAACCTATGTTTTTAACAAGCTCGTGAATGGAATGCATAAGAAAAGTAGTTAAATTTAAATTAAAAAGCTTAAGCATTTTATAAAGATGTAAAATCTTACTCTTAAAAAGTTCATTCCCATCTACTGTTTATTTGTATTAATATAAAACAGTCATATTTTTTGTCCCCGATAGCATAGCATAGATTAATTCTATGGTATTTAATTGCTAATTACTTTACTTGCACAGAAAGTTTTTAGCTGCATTAGCTATTTTTAAATAAGATAATTAAGAAAAATTTTAATGTATTTAAATTTCTATAAATTTTTTATTTACATTTTGATTCTCTTAAAATCCAAATGAATAATATTTGAAAATTTTTTATAAAAATGATTATTTGCATAAAATTAAAATACGATAGGCATTAAATAGCTTTCGCTTCAATATAATAAAAAATATCTTACTTATTTCCTACTTATTGCCTTTAAAATGTGATTATATCTTTTCATATTCTGTTAATATTTATTAGTCTATTAAAATCACGAATCACGAATTATACGTTATGTACGTGTATTAATTTTAATTTATCTATCTTCTGCATTTATTAGGGCTATAGTAACTTCCATATCTAACTCGTACACTGCTACTTCTACTGCATAGATATGAAATAAAAAATGTTAGAAACATAAAATAAACTACAAAAATATCATGAGAAATATTTTATAAGAATACGGTAAAGAATATTATCGTATTTATATAACGAATAATCTTTCAACTTTCTTTTACACGTATTACATACATCCATATACTCTATTTACATATTCTTCTGGACTGGAATTTTCCTCTAAAAATTATTGACAATGAAATTTCAGTTAGTTTATTTAGGATATTTTTTTTTTTCGGATAATTATTTCTTCTCGCTTCGATTGCATATTACCTTAGAGTCATACTATAAGGATTCTTCGCCAACATTCATCATATTGTTCAAATTATCGAATGAATATTATCATTTTCAGCTTAATCAATAGTAATATTATATTCAGATTTATCAGTCACTTTTGATAATTCGAACAATCGTAGCTCATATATTTATAGATATTCGCACGAAATAATAAACATGCAGCAATAATAAAGCATTTGCTACATAGAAGTAATTATAACCTCAAATCTGTTCTACAATGTTAAATTTGATAAACAATAAAATTATGTTTTATATAATAGTAAGGAATCACAAATGAACACAAATTTGTTGTTTCATTTTAATAATTCTTCGAGTACTGTATTTTTTCAATTTGTTAAATATTAAAGAGAATTTGTAAAAACAGCTATAAAATATTTTGTAATTTTTAATTTAAATTAATACCAGTTCGTTTTTATATTAAACAAAGCTCAACAATTGGAAATTTATTATATTCACGTCTACATTTAGTTTCATTGCTGAGAAAGATTTATTCAATTATTTCAAAATTTTACCATTTAGCTAATTTTTTTTATTATATTGTTTTATTATATATTGTCTTATATTGTTCATGTTATTAATTTAAAAATTTATATTTAATATTTTTTTGCATACAAAGTATTAAGCTACAAACAATAATTTTAATTAAATACTTATTATTTTTTATTAGTTGATTGAAAATATTTCCAACATCATAAGCTAAAGAGCAAAATATATGCTGATTTTACTAGACAACATTTTGAATTTGAAATATTTATATTCGAATATTCATAATATTTTTCCTCTTTCTTTCTCTCTCTCTCTCTCTCTCTCTCTCTCTCTCTCTCCCTTGTTAGTCTTTCTTTTTCTTTTTATTCTCTTCTCATTAATTCACTTCTAGTGACATCTAAAAAAAAAAAAAATCTTTCAAATTTACCCTAAACTATCCAAACATTTGTTTCAAATCCTATATTTTTTCATTAATAGAATTATATACATTTTTTATTGAAAAAGGGAGGTTAAATAAATATATGCATAATTTCAAGATGATAATGAAAAATCATCAGTCAAGAGTGAAAATAATAAACACCGTATTCATATAACTGTACAAGTAAGCCAAAGTATAGATAGAAAATATATACGTGCATTCATTGATGCAACGGACAAGGTTCGAAGGATCCAGGTCAATTAACAAATGGAAATCCACTAGATCCAGAATAAAAAATTCTACTCGTGCATACATGTATATATATATATATATGCGTTTAAACACTGCACGCGCAGGAAAAAGAGGGACGCTGTTGATACATAAAAACATATAAGATAGAAATAACATTAAAACTGATGAAAGAGAAAAATTAAAGATGTTACCTGAATGAAGAAAAGAAATTCGAATACTCATTTATAAAATATAGTTCTGCAAATTGAAAGTGTAAAATCTCATTACATAAAAATAAAATAATTGTAAACAAATAGCATTAATGAGTAAATTGTAATAATAAAATACAAAATTATTAAAGTACAATTGAAAATGTACATTTAATAAAAATAAATTAATTGCAATTATATAGAAGAACATTCAGAATATAATAAACGACTGATATTAGAAAACATATAACTGAAACAAGCATGAAATAAAACTGAAAAGCGTAAAAAATAGACGATTAATTTTCATAGAAAAAATTAAAATTGAATACCAATAAAAAAAACAGCACTTCAGCACTTAAATGCCTGAAAAGAAAGCGAAAGAAGAGAAAAATAGGGATAAAGAAACGATAAAAATATAGTATTAAAAATGGAAAAATTTTGAAATGAAAAGAGATAAACTGTCTTCGAGAAACAAAAAGCTACAACTAAAAAATGAAATAATATTGATGATTGGAAAACATATATTAACTTATCATTGAAATTATATTACTAGAACAATCTATTGCGAATAGATACTTTTATTAATTTCACATATATATCTGATGTAAAAAAAATCTCTTCTCTTGTTTCTTCTTTAATTCACTACTGTATAAATGATTTTTTTTTTTTTTTTAAATGTGTTAAATATCTAAGTTTATTAAAAAAGAAAATCAAGTGTCAGAAAGGATAACGTATTGAAAACAAGTCAGTGCTGCCCTTAAATATCTCTGTATATTCATGAATTTGTATTTGAGTTGTTGATGCATAATGTAGTTTGTTAATAATTTTTCATAATTTTTCAATTATTTTATAAAACTCATTTACTTAATCATGTTTTATTTTATTATTCTTTAAATTTCATTTTTCTTCCTTTTTTTTTTTTTTTTTTTTTTTTTTTTTAATATGTTTATAATTATGCAATTTAATTGGCAAAATAATTTTTGCATTTGGACAAAAATTAATTAATAAATAACAATGTTTTGTTTAGAAAAGCGAAAAAAAAAGTCTCTTATAATAATATGTAATAATAATCATATAGCATGGATTAATTTTTTTTACGATTTTTTTTTTACGATTGTCTTTCTTTTACTTCATACATATGTAGGTCTATTATTAGTAGCTGTTAATAACGATTTCATAGATAACGTCTGACTCCCATTCAAGGACAAAGCAAAAATAATGACAAAAAGGAGAATAAAAAGACGAAATGGAAACTCTCGTGGTACATCGAGGCTATTCGAAAATGGATAAAAGTGAAATGTATTGAACTAAACACCAACAAAATTGGAAGAAATTGCAGCCACGGAAAAGCCCATGAC